CACGCACGTCAGATGACCAATTGGCAGGTGACGTGCATCACCTGGAAATCGGCATCTGACGTGCGTCAGATTAGATCTGATACAAGAATCGATCTGAGGCACAACATATATATATAAATTTTTTAGATTGATAAAAAAGCAGGTTGATAATCAATTACAGTTATTAAATATTATCAGTTTTAATCAACTAGGTATATTTTTATAATATAACATATGTAGTGTATATATCAAATAAATTATATAATAATATAAAAAGTAACAAAAATTTTAGTCTATGTCTATGTACGTAGTATATATACAATTACTATATATATATATTAGTACAATAACGATAATGTTAAAACAGGTTTAAAAAAAATGTGTAAGATCTGCAATATACTAATTATATGAATTTTACTATCACTATTCTAAAAATTTGGTAATAGTAAAAATAAGTCATTTTATTAGCTATTTTGTATCCAATAATTATATATTATCCAATAGCATCAAAAATTTTGAATAAATATAAAACAAGCCATTTAATCCAGTTACTCAAAAAAAATAATGAGTTTACAAAATTCTAGTCAAGATTCTGGTGTCTTTACAAATGTTCAACACTATTTGAACATGATTTATCTAACTTTTGGAAGTCTCTGTTTTTTGGCTGCTTCTGGAGCTTATACTGGCTTATACCTGATTAAAGTATGTTTATGCTAAAATTATTTTTTAAACCGTATCGATATAAAATTATTACTTAAAAATTATTATTTAATTACTTTAAGAAAATTATATTCTACCTTTAGTAAGTCTCTGGTTTATGCGTATTATCGTTATTGATACACATTATAATAAAACATTACATTACTATTTGCTATTCATATGTTTAATTTCTTAATAATGCTATTATCTCTAAAATTTTCTGCCTCTAATATATTTAAATACATATTTTTTAGGCATTAGCCTTCATGCTAGGACTTTCGGTTGGACCTTTGATTGAAATGATTTTTTCTCAGCTGACCTGTTAAATCTATTTGTTTTTTGTTTTATTTGGTTGATTTAATATTATACTAATCACTTTTGATAATTTTACAGCCGCAGAGATGTGATTAATATCTGCAAATTTAATTTTTTAATCTTTTGCTTTTTTGTGATACCTACTCTATTGTGCAATAACAAGCTTTTGTTAAATATTGTGTTATTTATAAGAATTGTGATTTCGATGAGTTTTTGTCATTTATCAATTAACACGAGTTTATTTTCTTATTTGAACTATGTCAGATGGATTTGTTTATATGGTAAATACAGCATTAAATTTTATTATCTATTTCTGATTATATTTCTCAAGTATTAATTATTTGATATCTTTTAGTTCAATTTGAAGCTGAGTTTTCTATTTTTAGTTCTGCTCAATCAGGATCTCGTGATATTGTTAAACACATACTTTATCTGATCATTAATTTTATTTGTTGTAGTCTATTATTAGTGATAGTAATGACTTTTAACATAGTAAATTTTGGTACCTTTGTAAACGATGGTCACATTGTCTTTATTTATTCTATAAAATCTCTTAATAAAACTATTTGTTTGTTCAATATTATACTGTCGATTTTGGTTAGATTTTTGGGTTTAATTACATTAGATGGTTATGGTTATTAGATATAAGATCCATTTCTCATCATATTTAAAATTTTGATTTATCACTTTGTGAATTCAAAATTTATAGAACATACATTTTTTATTATCTGTTAGTCATTTATTATTAATGTCTGAATCATTTTATTCGAAAATTTATATAGATGGTTGAATTAAAAATTTTGATTATTTTAAATTTGTTTTTTTAACATCATTCAGTGTTCCATATTGATATTTCACAAATAGCATTTTGCTACTATTATTTTGTCTAGAAGTTCAATATAGTATAGAAATGTGTTGAATTAAAATAAATTCTACTATGAACTGATAAATGTAAGTTTATAGCATAATCTATAGTGCTCTTTAATTAACTCTTTTTGGCTGCGCAATATAGATAACTTTCTTCTGAGTGGTTAATTACCTACAATTGTATTTATGCAGTTTAAAGCACTTTTAAAGAATGTTGCATTTTACAGATAAAAAAAATATTAAACCCGTCTCTATTTTCAAAGAAGCGCCAATAGTTACCATGCATAATAATCCCAAATAATCCCATACCTAGAGATATCTTACCTAGAAAGTGAAATTTCTATATATATTATAACTATAGAACTATATGTAATTAAGTATATTGGTTATTGAAAGAAAACTAACCATACAAATTTTGTTAGAAATAGATAAAACATTTTATAAGCTACGTTAAAGGGTTTTAAAGCATAAAGAATATTAATACATAAGAATATCAAAACTTTGTATATGCATATATAGAGATTTCTACAGTGCCCTTATTATAATAAACTATAGATCTTTAGCTATTATATTAGTTCAGTACAGAAGTTATATGATAGGCATTTAAAAAAATAGATACGTATATAGACTTTATTCTTTTGTTAAAGAATTAAGTTTATGAATATAATATAATTTGATTGGTTGATTGTCACATGCTACAAAGATGGCCAATCATAAGGTGCTATTCAATTTTATGTGATTAGCCAATTACGAGAAAGTTATCATGCACCAATTTGGCACTGAAGATTCTCAATTCCAATTGGCTAAGAGTAAAGATCGAATGAAATCTTAATTTTACCTAGTGTAGGCCTATCTTCAAAATTTTCTAATTTTGAAATAAAAAATTAAAAGCTTCTAGCTAGAAATAACATAATGCGAACCAAATTGTTTATCTATCAAGAATGTTAACAACTAGAATACATATTTATCAGCCTGCGGACTTCACTATATCGAGTTTTAATTGTATATTAGCTGCTACTGATTTGGTCTAAAATATCAATTTATTTATTTAATTTTAGTTAATTTATTAACACTATATTTTAAGAGTTACAAGTTTAAATGGTGGGCTTAATTATTGATTTTTTTGTTTGATCCAAATCGAATTAGAAAATAATGCAAGAATTAAAAAATATAATAACCAAAACCTCTACAAAAAAACAATTAATAAACCAAAATTAATTACATTTGTTAAAATCTCTGATTTTTTATGAATCATTTCTTTTAATACTTTCTCTACTCCAAACCAAATTGATTACCACCAATTTGCAGTGATATTAAGAATGTGTTCACATGAAGGGAATTTACTAATACCTTTCCCGTGTCATTTCTAAGGATAAGCAACTATATATGACAAAATTGTGTGAATTTTACTTTTTTGTGTAGCAAGCAGGATTTAGAATAAACTCAGTTGTTTCTAGAGTGTCTCGAAATCGAAATGAGAAATAATTGGATAACAATATTGAAATTTCTTAAATATAGTTTTACTTTACATAAACCTCTCAGATTTAAGTAATTTAATTATTGTAATTTCATATATCATCATAGAGGTTCGAAATATTTTAAGTAAAATAATTATACATTTAAATCTTGACCAATATGTAGAAGTGATGGTAATAACTCTTCTTTTGTGTACTAATTGGGTTTCTTTCATTGTTAACTAGAAGTATAATTACACTTATAGTCATACCTACTTAATTCTGGAGAACCCATATAAACTTCTATTTCATGTAAGATCTCAGCAGAGCCTTTCTTCACTGCAATAACTTCGAAAAGCTAAAATGTGTTTTCTTCACCGTAATCACTCTGAAAAGCTTGCCTCGATTCTTCTAATATTAATGAAATGCAAAAAGTAAATATCTGAATAAATTAAACAAAATAAACAAATTTTACTTTTCTCAAAGTTCCAATGATCAATTCCAATAAAGAATAAAAAACATATATTTGAGAATTATATCTGGTAATCAACATTGGTGTAAGCAACTAATAGTATTTTATTCGAAAAAAATCTCAAATACTATCAATCATCTATAACAATTACACAAGAAAGCGATTCATTTCTTTTCTTTAATTTGTTAATTTCTTCGTATAATATTTCGATTTCTTTGCGTAATTCTCTGATTTCTTCAAATAATTCCAAATTCTATATATTTAATAACAAAAAAATATAGCATATACTACAAATATTTAATATAGAACAGTCTAATAATATAAAACATACCTGTTTAACCAAGACACTATTTTCTTGCTCTAATAAATAACAACGTTCTATATAATAATCACTATTATTTTCTAACAACGCTATGTAATTAAGAATAGTATGATTCATCAGTAAACTTTCATATGTACTGAGTAATTTTTTATACCTTTTATTTAATAACATGATTTGATTATTATTTTTAATAAGCTCATATTTAAGATTTGCAACCTCTATACGTAAACTAAAAAAAATTATCAACAAATAAACTCTTGACTTCAAGCAAAAATCATTTCAATAAAAAATATTACTTCTCAATTGTAGCTGTTACTTTTTTTTTTTCTGCTAAGACTTTTTCATTCAGAATAGTTTGGATTAAACTAAGTTGACGTTGGGTAAACGTCCTAAAACTTTCCTGCAACTTCAAAATACTCTGACGACTTTGATCAAATATTTTTTTAACTGGATATCCATGTTCAGTTAAGGGCAGATACATTTTTTCGGCATACGATAACTCGTTAATAAGTCTATCAATTTTTTTGCATGAATCTTCTTTATGTGAATCTACTTTAAACAACAAATTTTTGGCTTGTTTGGAATCTTGTTGATATGTTAATCCCAATAATGTTGTTTTGTGTATTTTTTTTACATGATTATTAACTTCTGTATGACTATCAAAAGTGTGTGGGCAACCAGGACATTTGAATTTATTGCCCGTGGTTTTACGAAGTCTACCACCACCGAGATGTTGTCTTCGGGGTGGCATCTCGGTGATGAGATTAAAATTCCAAACAAAATGAATTAGTATTTATATAACATATAACACATAAGCTTATAACTTTATTTTAAAATATGTATTGCCCACTTAATTTAACAGTTTTCTCGATTCGTTTAAAAACCAGTTTATATATTTTAATATTTATAATATATAATTAAGTCAGTAGAGTAAAGTCAGTTTTTTAGTTTATTCAGATACTATAACTTATATTACAGAATTAACAGGTTTTGCAAAAAGTTATTTAAACTACTATATAATTTATTTAATAGATTACATAAATTTTAATACGTACAGTATCGATATGGAATATGTGCATTTGATAACCAGTTATTATATATTATTGTTTTAATGAACTAGGTATATTTTTATAATATAATATCGATACCACATATTGTATCAAAATAAATTATATAATAATATAACAATATAAAAAAGTAAGGTCTGTGCTTACATATATAGTACAACTACCGTATAGAGACCAGTGATGTAATCCAGAGCTTTAACCTAACACCCTGATTACCCGGACCAAGTCTTTCCACGCCTCAATGGTACTTTTAAACGTATATTTGTATTTTGTATATATTTGTAAATCTGTTTTTTAACGATTTAACATTAAGAACTGAAGGATGTGGTGACATAGTGCAGTTGGCAAGTTGTCACCCCCTAAATGGCAGGTCTAGGGTTCAAATCACACTGGCGATGATTTTGAAAAATTAAGATTTGTTT